CACACGATGGTACTGAGAGAGATGTTTGACTGCTGTAACATCTCCACACGATGGTGCTGAGAGAAGTTTGAGTGATGTGACATCTCGACGTGATGTTGCAGAGAGAGATGTTTGTAACATCTCCACATGATGGTGCTGAGAGAGATGTTTGACTGATGTGACATCTCCACATGATGGTGTTGAGAGAGATGTTTGACTGTTGTGACATCTCCACATGATGGTGTTGAGAGATATGTTTGACTGCTGTGGCATCTCCACATGATGGTGCTGAGAGAGATGTTTGGCTGCTGTGACATCTCCACACGATGGTACTGAGAGAGATGTTTGACTGTTGTAACATCTCCACATGATGGCGGTGAGAGAGATGTTTGACTGATGTGACATCTCCACACGATGGCGTTGAGAGATGTTTAACTGATGTGACATCTCCACATGATATTGTTGAGAGATGTTTGACTGTTGTGACATCTCCACATGATGGTGCTGAGAGAGATGTTTGACTGCTGTGACGTCTCCACACGATGGTGTTGAGAGATGTTTGACTGCTGTGACATCTCCACATGATGATGCTGAGAAAGATGTTTGACTGCTGTGACATCTCCACACGATGGTGCTGAGAGAGATGTTTGACTGCTGTAACATCTCCACACGATGGTGCTGAGAGAAGTTTGAGTGATGTGACATCTCGACGTGATGTTGCAGAGAGAGATGTTTGACTGATGTGACATCTCCACATGATGGTGCTGAGAGAGATGTTTGACTGATGTGACATCTCCACATGATGGTGTTGAGAGAGATGTTTGACTGTTGTGACATCTCCACATGATGGTGTTGAGAGATATGTTTGACTGCTGTGGCATCTCCACATGATGGTGCTGAGAGAGATGTTTGACTGCTGTAAGATCTCCACACGATGGTACTGAGAGAGATGTTTGACTGCTGTAACATCTCCACACGATAGTGTTGAGAGATGTTTGACTGCTGTGACATCTCCACATGATGGTGCTGAGAGAGATGTTTGACTGCTGTAACATCTCCACACGATATTGTTGAGAGATGATTGACTGCTGTGACATCTCCACGCGATGTTGCAGAGAGAGATGTTTGACTGATGTGACATCTCCACATGATGGTGCTGAGAGAGATGTTTGACTGTTGTGACATCTCCACATGATGGTGTTGAGAGATATGTTTGACTGCTGTGGCATCTCCACATGATGGTGCTGAGAGAGATGTTTGGCTGCTGTGACATCTCCACACGATGGTACTGAGAGAGATGTTTGACTGTTGTAACATCTCCACATGATGGCGGTGAGAGAGATGTTTGACTGATGTGACATCTCCACACGATGGCGTTGAGAGATGTTTAACTGATGTGACATCTCCACATGATATTGTTGAGAGATGTTTGACTGTTGTGACATCTCCACATGATGGTGCTGAGAGAGATGTTTGACTGCTGTGACGTCTCCACACGATGGTGTTGAGAGATGTTTGACTGCTGTGACATCTCCACATGATGATGCTGAGAAAGATGTTTGACTGCTGTGACATCTCCACACGATGGTGCTGAGAGAGATGTTTGACTGCTGTAACATCTCCACACGATGGTGCTGAGAGAAGTTTGAGTGATGTGACATCTCGACGTGATGTTGCAGAGAGAGATGTTTGACTGCTGTGACATCTCCACATGATGGTGCTGAGAGAGATGTTTGACTGATGTGACATCTCCACATGATGGTGTTGAGAGAGATGTTTGACTGTTGTGACATCTCCACATGATGGTGTTGAGAGATATGTTTGACTGCTGTGGCATCTCCACATGATGGTGCTGAGAGAGATGTTTGACTGCTGTAAGATCTCCACACGATGGTACTGAGAGAGATGTTTGACTGCTGTAACATCTCCACACGATAGTGTTGAGAGATGTTTGACTGCTGTGACATCTCCACATGATGGTGCTGAGAGAGATGTTTGACTGCTGTAACATCTCCACACGATATTGTTGAGAGATGATTGACTGCTGTGACATCTCCACGCGATGTTGCAGAGAGAGATGTTTGACTGATGTGACATCTCCACATGATGGTGCTGAGAGAGATGTTTGACTGATGTGACATCTCCACATGATGGTGTTGAGAGAGATGTTTGACTGCTGTGACATCTCCATATGATGGTGTTGAGAGAGATGTTTGACTGCTGTGACATCTCGACATGATGGTGCTGAGAGAGATTTTTTACTGTTGTAACATCTCCACATGATGGCGGTGAGAGAGATGTTTGACTTATGTGACATCTCCACACGATGGCGTTGAGAGATGTTTGACTGATGTGACATCTCCACATGATGGCGCTGCGAGAGATGTTTGACTGTTGTAACATCTCCACATGATGGTGCTGAGAGAGATGTTTGACTGCTGTGACATTTCCACACGATAGTGTTGAGAGATGTTTGACGCTTGTGACATCTCCACATGATGGTGCTGAGAGAGATGTTTGACTGCTGTGACATCTCCACACGATGGTGCTGAGAGAGATGGTTGACTGTTGTAACATCTCCACATGATGGCGGTGAGAGAGATGTTTGACTGATGTGACATCTCGACGCGATTTTGCAGAGAGAGATGTTTTACTGCTGTGACATCTCCACATGATGGTGCTGCGAGAGATGTTTGACTGCTGTAACATCTCCACACGATGGTACTGAGAGAGATGTTTGACTGCTGTAACATCTCCACATGATGGTGCTGAGAGAGATGTTTGACTGCTGTGACATCTCCACACGATGGTGTTGAGAGATGTATGACTGTTGTGACATCTCCACATGATGATGCTGAGAAAGCTGTTTGACTGCTGTGACATCTCCACACGATGGTGCTGAGAGATGTTTGACTGATGTGACATCTCGACGCGATTTTGCAGAGAGAGATGTTTTACTGCTGTGACATCTCCACATGATGGCGCTGAGAGAGATGTTTGACTGCTGTAACATCTCCACACGATGGTACTGAGAGAGATGTTTGACTGCTGTAACATCTCCACATGATGGTGCTGAGAGAGATGTTTGACTGCTGTGACATCTCCACACGATGGTGTTGAGAGATGTATGACTGTTGTGACATCTCCACATGATGATGCTGAGAAAGATGTTTGACTGCTGTGACATCTCCACAAGATGGTGCTGAGAGATGTTTGACTGATGTGACATCTCGACGCGATTTTGCAGAGAGAGATGTTTTACTGCTGTGACATCTCCACATGATGGCGCTGAGAGAGATGTTTGACTGCTGTAACATCTCCACACGATGGTACTGAGAGAGATGTTTGACTGCTGTAAGATCTCCACATGATGGTGCTGAGAGAGATGTTTTACTGCTGTGACATCTCCACACGATGGTGTTGAGAGATGTATGACTGTTGTGACATCTCCACATGATGATGCTGAGAAAGATGTTTGACTGCTGTGACATCTCCACACGATGGTGCTGAGAGAGATGTTTGACTGCTGTAACATCTCCACACGATGGTGCTGAGAGATGTTTGACTGATGTGACATCGCGACGCGATTTTGCAGAGAGAGATGTTTTACTGCTGTAACATCTCCACATGATGGCGCTGAGAGAGATGTTTGACTGCTGTAACATCTCCACACGATGGTACTGAGAGAGATGTTTGACTGCTGTGACATCTCCACACGATGGTGCTGAGAGAGATTTTGACTGCTCTGACATCTCCACACGATGGTGTTGAGAGATGTTTGACTGCTGTGACATCTCCACATGATGGTGCTGAGAGATGTTTGACTGCTGTGACATCTCCACACGATGGTGTTGAGAGAGATGTTTGACTGCTGTGACATCTCCACACCATGGTGTTGAGAGATGTTTGACTGCTGTGACATCTCCACACGATGGTGTTGAGAGATGTTTGACCTGCTGTGACATCTCCACACGATGGTGTTGAGAGATGTTTGACTGCTGTGACATCTCGACACGATGGTGCTGAGAGATGTTTGACTGCTGTGACATCTCGACATGATGGTGCTGAGAGATGTTTAACTGCTGTGACATCTCCACACGATGGTGCTGAGAGATGTTTGACTGCTGTGAGCCGCACGTTGCCAGCCCCTGGCTCTCGGTCGCTTCTGAGCTGCTTCGCTCAGCGGGGCCTTGCCGCTAAAACAACTTATACAGAGTGGAGTCGCTAAACTCATCGCTTCCCATTCGATCTCCCGGAGCGGCAGGTTGCTGACATCCTTGCCCACCCCTCCTCCTATTAGCGCTTCCGATATAGCACGGCTGGCGACGTACGGTACAAACAAAGTTCAAAATACGTACACTCATACGTATAGAGGTCCAAGCAGTAACGGACTACGAGCGTCTGGCCTGCAGCGTGGTGGGGCAAAGCTTGAGAACTCCCACCCACTTACAAGAAGTCTGGCCTACAGCGCGGAAGAGTAGGCCAAATATAACCACTCTGCAGGGGCTGTCTATAGCTATCGTCGAAATGGCGACGGTCAAACATTGCAGGGCTGCGCCTTTACCCATTCAGCGCACCATGCAAATGTACCTCCTTGACCCTTTCCCCCCCCCCCTCTTATGTCAATGCCCCTCCCCCCACCCCTGCACCTGGGGCTAAGAACCCCCCCTCCCCGCACTCGAGAGCGACCACTGGGCAGGAGGTGACCCCCTCGCTGGCTCTCTCTGCAGGCGAGACAAACACAGAGGGGATAGCGAGAGAGGGGATAGCGAGAGAGGGGGTCGCGAAAGAGGGGGTCGCGACAGAGGGGGTCGCGACAGAGGGGGTCGCGACAGAGGGGGTCGCGACAGAGGGGGTCGCGACAGAGGGGGTCGCGACAGGAGGTAGCGAGAGAGGGGGTAGCGACAGAGGGGGTAGCGACAGAGGGGGTAGCGACAGAGGGGGTAGCGACAGAGGGGGTAGCGAGAGAGGGGGTAGCGAGAGAGGGGGTAGCGAGAGAGGGGGTAGCGAGAGAGGGGGTAGCGAGAGAGGGGGTAGCGAGAGAGGAGGACATGGGGGGCCCCGTGGCGGACGAGGAGCGGCCACGATGGGACAACAAGGTGCAGTACATCCTCACCTGCGTGGGGTTCGCCGTCGGACTCGGCAACGTGTGGCGCTTCCCGTACCTATGCCAGACGTACGGCGGAGGTGAGGCTCTCTCACTCACTCACTCACCTGTGTGTGTGTGAGACTCACTCACCTGTGTGTGTGTGAGACTCACTCACCTGTGTGTGTGTGAGACTCACTCACCTGTGTGTGTGTGAGACTCACTCACCTGTGTGTGTGTGAGGCTCACTCACCTGTGTGTGTGTGAGACTCACTCACCTGTGTGTGTGTGAGACTCACTCACCTGTGTGTGTGTGAGACTCACTCACCTGTGTGTGTGTGAGACTCACTCACCTGCGCGTGTGAGACTCACTCGTGTGTGAGACACACTCTCCTGTGTGTGTGAGACTCACTCACCTGTGTGTGTGAGACTCACTCGTGTGTGAAACTCACTCACCTGTATGTGTGAGACTCACTTACCTGTGTGTGTGTGAGACTCACTCACCTGTGAGACGCACTCACCTGTGTGATTCTTTGTGTGTTCCACCAACCCCAATCAATTTGTGATTCCGTTTCAGCCTGAATTTAAATGTACATTTCACAGGTAGCAGAACCACATCCACCACCATTATTAATCTACCACCACCATCACCACCACAATCATATCATCATCACTACCGTCACGACGATCATAAATACCATGACTACCATGACTACCATCGCTACCATGACTACCGTCACCACCACCAGGCACCACAACCATCACCTCCACCATCATCACCACCACCATCATTACCACCATCACCACCAAAAACAACAACCGCCATTCGCCACTAAGTGGCGGTGACATCACCACGACGCTTGTGCCAGGCTATGTGCACGTTGAGGCCACGTAAAGTGTCGAACGCCCGGTTGGCAGGAGGTCACGTGGCAGACCCAGGTGCCACGGGTCGACTGACTGAGATGACTCGCTGATGCACCACCTGTGCCCTCCACTGTGCCAACTTGTTGTGCTTTAGCCACCCGGCGCTCCGCTCGTTGTTGTGAGCTTCGCTCCTCCGCCCACCATTGTTGTTGGAGGGGGACTGCCCAGTAGCGTCCTTCACGAGCTTCCTCCACAGAGGCCGATCTTAACACCGCTGGTACCAGTCATCGGCAAGTCCACTCAGCTCCACGCCCTCCTGTACCACATCACTCCATCTCTTCTCTAGCGCGTGCCGTATCCGTTTAGCCCCCTCGAACCGGCCGAACAAAAGCTGTTTGTGGCTGGGCATGCGGGCTACATGACCCAGCCAACGCAGCCTTGCCTGCTAGAGGAGCTCACCGATAGGACTTTGTCCAGATCTTTCGAGGATTTGTGAGCTCCTCACACAATCCAGCCTGGTTAAACCTGGATGGTTCGTAGGCATCCAAGTCTAAATGTTTCTAACCGGCGAAGATGTTCCATTAGGGGGGTCCACGTTTCGCAAGCGTAGAGAAGGGAGGGAATAACCGTGGCCGAATAGACCTGAAGCTTCGTGCGGATCGACAGACCAGGTAGCTTCCACACAGCGTTACGCAACCGACGAAAAGATATTGCCGCTCGACTGATTCGGAGTGAGACCTCTGCTGTCAAAACGGAGCCAGTCATGAGCACCCTGCCAAGGTATGGGAAACTCTCCACTCTCTCCACAACTGCCCTATCACCAATTGGGAGTTGTGGGCGTGGAGTGTCCGATGGTACAAAATACCCAGGCAGGTGCAAAGCTTTTATGGGGCGGATGGTAAGTCCCCACCTCTTAGTGGCATGCACCAGTTTCAGCAACAGCGTCTCCAACTCCTCCATTGAGTGAGCAGCAATTACCAGATCATCGACATACATAACATGGTTGGCCATCCCTTGACTGCAGCCGGGCATCGATCAGCCTCCCATTGTATATGTACCAGATGTAAATTCCTCTAGTACAGGCATCGAAGGCTTCACGAACTACGTGGTCAAAATATATGTTAAATAATGTGTGAGCCAGAGGACATCCCTATCACACCCCAAGGTGAACAGGGAATGGCTCTGACTTCTGGCCACGTAGTTTTACCCGGGCCTGCTCACCATCATGAAAGTCCTTAATGATCGTGAGCAGAGTCAGGGACTCCGAAAGCACGAAGAACAACCCAGAGCCCAGGCCTACTGATGGTGTCATAGGCCTTGACCAGGTCAACAAAGCAGAGATGTAGGTCTTGCTGGAATTCCCTACACCTCTGCTGTAACAGACAGTTAGAAAATATGACATCTGTACAGGACCGCCCTTTCCTGAAACCACATTAGGGCTCCATAAGCCTCTCCCCAGCGTGACTGGCAAGGCGATGTTGAATAATCCTTACCAGGACTTTTCCCTGCACACTGAGGAGTGAGATGACCCTGTAGTTGTTACAGTCTGTGCGATTCCCCTTCTTCTGGTGGTCCCCCTTCTTAAAAAAGGGGACCACAAGAGCGTCCTTCCAATCCTGGGGAACACATCCAGTGGTCCAGACTACATGTAGGGCAGTCTGTGCACAAACGCCACCCTCCCTCAGCATTTCGCTTGGGAGATCATCTGCCCTGGGCCATTCCTGGTCTCACTCTGGATCGCCTTCAATACTTCCTAAACAGATGGCACCTCAGCCAGCCACTCACAGGGGGTGACAGCTTCTTCCAATATTTGAGGCACAGCAGCTTCAGCAGGGAGTAATGGTGATGGTAGTGGTGGTGGTGCTGGTAGTAATGGTGATGGTAGTAGTAGTGGTGCTGGTAGTAAGAGTGATGGTAGTGGTGGTGGTGCTGGTAGTGATGGTGATGGTAGTGGTGGTGCTGGTAGTAATGGTGATGGTAGTGGAGGTGTTGCTGGTAGTATTAGTGATGGTAGTGGTATTGGTGCTGGTAGTAATGGTGATGGCAGTGGTGGTGGTGCTGGTAGTAATGGTGATGGTAGTGAAGGTGGTGCTGGTAGTAATGGTGATGGTAGTGGTGCTGGTAGTAATGGTGATGGTAGTGGTGATAGTAATGGTGATGGTAGTGGAGGTGGTGCTGGTAGTAATGGTGATGGTAGTGCTAGTGGTGCTGGTAGTAATGGTGATGGTAGTCGTGTTGGTAGTAATGGTGATGGTAGTGGTAGTGGTGCTGGTAGTAATGGTGATGGTAGTGGAGGTGGTGCTTGTAGTAATCGTGATGGTAGTGGTAGTGGTGCTGGTAGTCATGGTGATGGTAGTGGTGTTGGTAGTAATAGTGATGGTACTGGTGCTGGTAGTAATGGTGATGGTAATGGTGGTGGTGTTGGTAGTAATGGTGATGGTAGTGGTGGTGGTGCTGGTAGTAATGGTGATGGTATTGGTGGTGGTGGTGCTGGTAGTAATGGTGATGGTAGTGGTGGTGGTGCTGGTAGTAATGATGATGGTAGTGGTGCTGGTAGTAATGGTGATGGTAGTGGTAGTGGTGCTGGTAGTAATGGTAGTGGTGCTGGTAGTAATGGTGCTGATAGCAGTGCTGGTAGTATTGGTGATGGTCGTGGTAGTGGTTCTGGTAGTAATAGTGATGGTAGTGGTGCTGGTAGTAATGGTGATGGTAATGGTGGTGGTGTTGGTAGTAATGGTAGTGGTGGTGGTGCTGGTAGTAATAGTGATGGTAGTGGTAGTGGTGCTGGTAGTAATGGTGATGGTAGTGGTGGTGGTGCTGGTAGCAATGATGATGGTAGTGGTGATGGTAGTAATGGTGATGGTAGTGGTAGTGGTGCTGGTAGTAATGGTAATGGTAGTGGTTCTGGTAGTAATGGTGATGATAGCGGTGCTGGTATTAATAGTGATGGTAGTGATGCTGGTAGTAATGGTGATGGTAATGGTGGTGGTGTTGGTAGTAATGGTGATGGTAGTTGTGGTGGTGCTGATAGTAATAGTGATGGTAGTGGTAGTGGTGCTGGTAGTAATGGTGATGGTAGTGGAGGTGGTGCTGGTAGTAATGGTGATGGTAGTGGTGCTGGTAGTAATGGTGATGGTAGTGGTAGTGGTGCTGGTAGTAATGGTGATGGTAGTGGTGGTGGTGCTGGTAGTAATGGTGATGGTAGTGGTGGTGGTGCTGGTAGTAATGGTGATGATAGTGGTGGTGCTGGTAGTAATGGTGATGGTAGTGGTGATGGTAGTAATGGTGATGGTAGTGGTAGTGGTGCTGGTAGTAATGGTAATGGTAGTGGTGCTGGTAGTAATGGTGATGATAGTGGTGCTGGTAGTAATGGTGATGGTAGTGGTAGTGGTGCTGGTAGTAATGGTGATGATAGTGGTGCTGGTAGTAATGGTGATTGTAGTGGTAGTGATAGTAATAGTGATGGTGGTGGTGTTGGTAGTAATGGTGATGGTAGTGGTGGTGGTGCTGGTAGTAATGGTGATGGTTGTGATAGTGGTGCTGGTAGTAATGGTGATGGTAGGGGTGCTGGTAGTAATAGTGATGTTTGTGGTGGTGATGCTGGTAGTAAGGGTGATGGTAGTGGTGCTGGTAGTAATGGTGATGGTAGTGGTGGTGGCGCTGGTAGTCATGGTGATGGTGGTGGTGCTGGTAGTAATAGTGATGGAAGTGGTGTTGGTAGTAATGGTGATGGTAGTGGTGGTGGTGGTGCTGGTAGTAATGGTGATGGTAGTGGTGGTGGTGGTGCTGGTAGTAATGGTGATGGTAGTGGTGGTGGTGCTGGTAGTAATGGTGATGGTAGTGGTGCTGGTAGTAATGGTGATGGTAGGGGTGCTGGTAGTAATGGTGATGGTAGTGGTGCTGGTAGTAATAGTGATGGTAATGGTGGTGGTGTTGGTAGTAATGGTGATGGTGGTGGTGCTGGTAGTAATGGTGATGGTAGGGGTCCTGGTAGTAATGGTGATGGTAGTGGTGTTGGTAGTAATAGTGATGGTACTGGTGGTGGTGTTGGTAGTAATGGTGATGGTAGTGGTGGTGGTGCTGGTAGTAATGGTGATGGTAGTGGTGGTGCTGGTATTAATGGTGATGGTAGTGGTGGTGGTGCTGGTAGTAATGATGATGGTAGTGGTGCTGGTAGTAATGGTGATGGTAGTGGTAGTGGTGCTGGTAGTAATGGTAATGGTAGTGGTGCTGGTAG